GTTGAAATCATTGAATTGCGTGTATGATAAAATTCAATTCCTCGAAAATTACACGCGCGAAATAGTTACATAGCACTCTTATTGCGACTACTCCGAGAATGAACTGAGCGGACGATATAAAAGTAGCCGGAAAAGGTATAGTCACGAGAAACTAGTTCCTGGTCCCATTTCTCAAGCATTATCGTCAACGGCACTTACTATATCCCGAAACGTTTGTTCGCGTTTCTGAAAACTCAGTTTCGGCGACAGAAGTTTTAATAAAATCTCTACCGTGCCGAATGTTTCCCTTCCCCCGCATAATTGATCAACGCGCGGCCACTCGTCGGATGTTTTATCAAAGTTCCTACCTTGAAAGACGCTTAAATTTCAATTTCAAATTTTGCACACAACGTTCGTGAATCGCAGTAGTCAAACTTAGCACTTTGTAAGACGATTATCGCCACTTAGAATATCAAAGTGTTTTCATCGTATTTGACAAGACGTCGCTTTCTTACATTTAATTTCATTTACGAGGAGCATATACTGCGGGAGAATTATCACGAACAATCAAGCTATCACGAATCGGATAAAATGTGCAAAATTTGAGAATACGATGCATATTCGCGCATACACTATTCAAACAATCTCTACTATTACATACCTAAAAGTCTGATCACAGATTGACAGAAGGCGTGTAAAATACGACATTAGATATACAGTCACGAGAGATATTAATAAATACAGTCATATGTATGTATAAGATGAGTTAACATATTATATGTGAGTATATGTATGTGTAAATATATGTGTGTGTAATAATTTATATAAACCTCCAAATACAAGTGGCAAAATCAGAACAAGAAATTTTATACGAACAAAAATCAAATATGTAATTTTTAATATAAAGTTTATCTCTCTTGACATATAAAAATCGTTTTCAAAACTTAATTATTTTTTTATTGCACATAATAGTTTGTTCGCGTTCCGTAATAGAATTTTAATTGGTTTATAAATTGTATCTGAATCCAAACAAAAAAACTAAACAAAATCCAGTTCATAGGACTAATAATGCTGTATTAAATTTTTTATTTGAGAGTTTAATCGATATAAAAAATATGTTTGCTGATTATATATGCCATATTATGACATATTAAAATTTCAATTAGCTATGTTTTTATTCGAATTATCATTTTTTAAAATTAAAAAATATTATTTGCATAATTACAAAAACAAATAAATCTAGGTTTTTTATCTTTGTCGGATTAAACACGTATATAAGTATATTAGACATATAAAACTATACTAAAAGACTAAAATTTTTTTTGTCTAATAATTTTGTCTTAATGTCATCTTTTTGCCTCATTCTCCAAAATAACCAGAGTAAAAATTGCATAAAAATGTTTTATTAGAATAAATAGTAACAAAATTCCCTGATAAATATCCAATATAAATTTTCTAGTTAAATTTGAATATTCTTAAAAATGACTATTCAAAACATGTTATTTTCGTTAAATATCAAAATCTACTATTTTCATTGTTTATTATCAGATTAATAAATGCCGTTATTTTCTATACTCTATTCTTTATCTTTGAACGTTTACAATAAAAATGTGTTCAAGTCTTTTTAAAAATTATTATTACGATAAAAAAAGTTGATGAGTATCGGAGGAATAACTTACCGAATAGGATAATAGAGAGTCACAATAGGGAAATATTATATTTCTTTCGAAGAAATATTGTTGAACTTAAAGTCCAAAAAGATCATAAACTCTGAAATGATATTGTTTCATGTCATGCGAGGCACCTTTTTCCACTTTTATACCTTCTCCTTCGATATACGAATAAAAAAATTTGACTCGTAACGCGATCAGTATTATTGTTTGCCAGTCACAAATATATGGCCCCATTACATATCTAAGATCGAAGCATCGATCATGTAATAGCGCATTATCATTTTGATAGATATTTAATATACTAACATTTTTTAGATACGTATATGATTTATCACTTGTCTATTTTTCCTGCTTTTCTTATATACACGAAGTAAGACCGTCAGTTATATGTGTGCTTATTGTTAATTCTTTATTCGAGTATAATTATATATCCTAAATTACATTTTAAGAGAATCATATGATTAGGATATACATATTATTTGCATACGCTTATTGGCTTGCGTTTGAATATCAAGTAAACGATATGGCGATATAGGTGGAAAGCGATATACGTTTTAACACTCCATTTTACACAAGTACACGTGTTACACGTGCATCTTATTGTTAATTTAAGATGTACATATATACAAACAGAATCAATTTCTAAATGTAGAGCATGACAGAGATATGTGCTTAGATGATTAGCAATAATCAAAGCTGCCATCACAAAATGTATTATACAAAATACATTTAATAGAAGACACAATGTAATCTAGAATCAAGACTTAGGATGCAAAAAGTAAACTTGATCAATTTTTTCAACACGACACAAACATTAAATCTAACATAAAAATGACAATTTCTTGTACGACTTTAAATTACGAAATCTGGAATTATATAACGCATTATTTTGTTCAGAAACATTGAAAGTTGTTATTTTAATAGCAAAGATCAATTAATTTTCTCTATCGTAATTCAATACAAATTATCAGTAAATTTTTTAATTATTATTTGCAATAATCGTGTACTATCTCTGTTAAAAACCATAAAATTGCGTAAAATATATGTAAGCACATCGGAAAAAAATTTCATAGAGAAAAAAATTCGGGGTAAAAAATTTGACGAACATTTAGGCACGTCATTCAAGAAACGGAGCAAAAGAAATGTTTTCGGGGTGCAAATATCATCAAACGGAATTCTCTCTGATATTCGCAATCTCAGCTACTCGTGCGTATATGGACGGAGAAAGCGCATTCTCGTGAAGCGAATACCATAGTGTCACTCTCGGGTGAACGAGCGAGTGTCCTTCAATGAAACGCTACTAAATAAATCGCGGTCCCTGAAACACAGTGTCTGTCCCGAGAAAACGCGACACACAGCAAAGCGAACACGTCGCCGCGCGAGGTACATAACGAATTACCCAACCGGCCTGAAGAATGGCGTCGTTTTCTAAAATAATTGGTACGACAATATTTACCGACCGTTTACACGAAATACACGAAAGCTTCGGGGGTCGATCGAGTCACACTCTCTCGAAGAGTGTTTTTGCGTTAATCCCCGTATCTTCCGTCGTAAATCGTTCTCGCGTTCTCTGCGTCAATATGATGCTAACTGTATATAAGCTCTCGTACACTTTTCATTAAATCCAGATACGTGCCTCTTAGTTATCTCGAGATTATAGAGACAATAACGTACCGTGTACTGTTCTTTTTCAGGGTGTTTTTTTCCATTTTTTGATGGATAAGAGCGATTATATTCGCAAGAAGATATGTTCAAGGGAAAAATATATATATACACATTAATTATCAAATTTTTTGTGCGATATGTATGTTTAAAATTAAGTAAATTGGTGGCAGCGTTAAAACTTTTTTTATGTAAAAAGAAACAATGAGTCAATCTGACACAATGAATGCAAGATGAGAGAAGATATTTGTCGAGTAATGAATTCTAAGGACAGATTACATACGACTTTATGCAAGTCTTATGGCACATAGAATAATATTTATTAAGACTGATTTCATTCCTTTACAAGAGAACACTCAGTCATTTTATCTCATTACTTTCGCCAATGAAGCAATATATTACGGTACTTGGTTTGAGCCTTGATTCTCATTTGGTCGTCATCGAAAAAATTTTTCCCGCGTGTGATCGTTCGCGATTTACATAATAAATGGCTGAAGAGAGCTCTTTTCTTATCTCTTTTTCTTTTTTTTTTTTTCTTTTTTTTTAAGAAATCCCACTAAACTGCCGAACGTCGAAACCGATGGACGAGCAAAGTGCTAAAAGTTTTAACTAATATTATTGCCATCTTTATCATCGAATCGCCCTTATCTGATCCACCTGACTTCACCTTCTTACTGGAATGTTATTAACTTTGGGGGATGATGAGCACCGCCAAGTACCTCCTTAAACGTTACGGCATTTTCATCTACCGGCCGACTTACTGCGGCGGAGCCGCCGTAATTCGTAATGTGGTGTTCGCGGCGTTACTAGAGTGTGTTCGTTGAGCTTAAATCTCACACATAGCGAGCTTATAGCGCAACCAGCGTAAATTACTCCCCACCAACGTACGCGTATAACTTCGCGGTCGGCATCCTCTCCCTTCTGGGATGCCAGTAAAGCTCCGTCAAGAAATTTAATCGAGATTGGGAAAACCTTATTTTCTCTCTCGTCCGCATTTCGCGTCTCGTTTTGCAGCCAGATAAAATGCTGTCGCGGGTGAGACACTCGTCCTCTACCCTCTCTTCTACCCTTGTTGCAAGATGAAATCTCGCGAAATAGGCTTCACTCTTCTCTACCGAGAATGGACGATGTTTTGCGATAAATAAGAAAAAATGCACGTAAAGAGAACGCAACGTTTGATAATGCCAGGAAATTCTAAAATATAATATACGCGTTTAAAAACTTCATTAAAAATAAAAATGCCGTTATCAAATGTACAAACTAAACGTTTTCGATATTTTCGTGATTAAAATTTCAATTTTAAAATGCTCGAAGAACATATTCTGTGTTCTAAATCAAAAATATATATGATATTATACATATAAGCTTCAATAGGATTATAATACAAATCCATGGCTAACGTTAAGGAAACATTCTTTCAATGGACGGCAACTATTCGTATCAGCGTCAAAAACGTTGCGCATCCTTTTATATTTCAATCGTTTATTTCCTAAACCCAATAAGCTCGAATTCTTTTCGAATCGACGCTGATAACTGCTAAACATCACGACAATCATTATGTCACATGTATATATATCTTTAGTGCCAATGTTTTTGTGCTTAGGTCTTTACTGTGTCTTAAAAAATAATATTCTTATATACGAATAAAAAATAATGACATTTACACGTCAATTAAAAATTAATACGTCCATAAAATTCATAGATATATATAAAACAGAAAAAAGCAATATAAAATCGTAACTAAATCAGATCTATGTAATAACGTCAACGTCTTCAATTACGTCAAAATTAATTTACCTGTGTAAAAAGAACTTGTTCTTGACATCCTTATAAAAACGGGAAGAACTTCATTCAACGTAAAAATGATTCAGCTGTTGTCGAAAAAGAAGTCGTAAAAGAATTGAGGAAGACAAACCAATTAATTCTCCTTGTAAGGTGAAACCGGAGTCCCGGCGCGACGTCGTTTGTGCGTCGACACAATGATTGCCTCATCTCGCAAGAATGGACTCTCATTACGCGGCGAAACGGGGGTCCGGATGGATGCAACGAGGACATCTTTATCGTCTTGTTTTGCGCATCTCGCACGTGCATCGCGTCCGCGTCTAGAGCTCGTAGACGTCACGTCCGTTCGGCCTGGCTACGGCCGGTCGACAAGACGACGGACTCGCGTACGAGTGAATAATGTGCACCCGGAGACGCACGTCGCTCGCATTTCTACTGCTCTCGCCGCCGCGGGGTCTCCTTGAAAAGCTCACCGTGGTCTTGCAGCAGCAATAATGAAAGAGCTTGATGTAAGCGCTGCGGAAGTGGCGGTCCGCCACGCAGTAGAGCAGATTGTTGAAGCAAGACTTGGACAGAGCGAACCAAGCGAGATTGTAGAGCACCCGGGCGCTGATCGGCCTGAAGGAATTCACGCATACCGCCAGACCGAATGGCAGCCAGAACACGGCGAACATCACGCAGCTGCACATGTTCGTCTTGGTGAGCTCGTAGTCCCAGGAAAAGGCGAGCGGCGGCTTGTACGTCCGCGTGACACGTCGCACGCGTATCACCAGCTTCACGTAGAAGAAAATCGTTATCAGAGCAGGCAGTCCGACCAGGAGGCTCGCGCCAACCGCTTGCTCCATCGCGATGCCGCTGAGCCTGCGGCGACAAAAGTCGGGACCCACGTCGAAGGTTGATTGCAAGACTACCGCAATCACGGCGAGCAGCCAGAGGAAAACAATCACGGCTGTTACATGGCATGCCGTTACGTTGGCGTATCTAGAAGATTAAAATATATTGCTGTAAGGTTCAAATGTGCGCTGCTGAAATTATTAATGAATAAATTATATAGGAGAAGATGCAGGTACAGCTGATCTCTAATGCTGATGATTCGATGACGCAAACATTTTAACAAATTTTAACAAAATTTTATAGTTTTATTATTTATATATCCAAGAAAAAGAAGTCTATTGGAATTATATAATCAAGATGAGACGTCTCGAAAAGAATATGAATGTAAATCAGCATCATTATTACACAACTCGGCTCTATCGCTGCAATTGATATATATATATATCTAGGAATAAATAATCTTGCGAAAATAACAGGAAATAATACATTGCCTCGTAGATGGATATTCTCCCTTTAATTGCATCACGAGCTTGGTTAAGTCCCAGCTTTCTTATACGGACGTATTCAATTAAAGAAAATATTTCCGCCAGTGATACACTACGACTGCAATTACGGAGTTGGTCGTACTAGTCTGTGGATTAACGAGGGGCTTGAAAAACGAGTCGGTAGTTACGGAGTTAGCGGCGTTGGCGGACGATTTCTCGTTTACAATGCGAGGAAACTTCCCCGAGTCCACGTGCTCGCCGTGATTCTTCTGACGCGACCGGTTAAAATACTTCCCGTAACGCCGTATTGTCGCGAAACTTTCCGCGTGCGTATGAAAAGCAGCAGTCGTTTTCGTCGTAGTCGTCGTAGTCGTAGTCGTAGTCGTCGTTGTCGTCGTCGTCGTCTCCCCCGGGATCGTCTGCTATCGGTTACGGATTCCGGCAATTCAAGCTAAAGAGAACGTCGCCCGGAATGCGAAATTACGAACTCGATCGTGACGCTGATAGAGAACCGGGGAAGCACTTCAACATCAAACTCAAAGTTCCAAGCAGTAGCCGCCATACGCCATTATACGCGATGGCTTAAACTGATAACAGTAATTTGATTTCTACCCCATTCACTATGTTTACATTACCCATATTCATCCAACGTTAACCATCAGCGAGATACTTTCTCGCCACAGGCTGAATGATACGCGTCCAGAGGCATCCGCGCGCGCGTGTATTATAATATTATAATTTTCTCTCCAACTTTAATAACGTTATCTAATATTTATAGCAGCGGGCGCGCATTACCCCGAAATATTTATGCGCTCACTGATCCGAGAAAACATCAAGGCGCGGCATTACATAATAAATAAGTTGAGTAACACGATGAGCGCGGATATAGAAGTAGGAATTATCGATTTCTCTATCCGGAACGCTTCACCTTTTTGTGAGTAAACAGGCGCGGTCACATAATTTTCATCCCTTTATTGTCCCCGTCGGAATTTCGACCTTCGATTCGATGACCCGACTGGTGTGTGCCTATATTATCATCGTATTTGGGGTGTTGCCTTAGAAACACTTGCTCGGTAAAAATATCAAAGTTAGATACGTATATAAGAAAAAGGCCGGTAGCATATTTTCTTCAAAATTATTACGTGGATTTTGGTGGCTACACGAAAAAAAGCTCGCGGAATATTTTTGCGATAAAAAAACCGATCTAAAACAAAAGGAGGCTATTACATATATCTTTCTCGTGGTTTGTGTTATATAAATTTGTCGTTAGAGAAGAAAGAGAGAGAATCGCTAGTGGAAATATCATAGGATAAAAACATCCCCGAGGCGGAACAAGAATACGTGCACGTGTGTGGAAATTGGAGGAACGTGGTATCGATTACCGGAATCGCCGGTACCACTCGCTTTATCTTTCGACTGGCAAACAGTTAACACAAGCGGGCGTAATTTTCGGGCCACTATTGTCGCGGACGGCGGTAAGGCCACCGGGGACCAAAGAGCTTTACAAGCACACAGGTTTTGGTATATACGTTACCGTCGACCGAGCCAAATGAAGACCCGCCTGCAAGAACCAGATAGCCTCGCCTTTGATCGAAGTGAATTATTTACATGGAAATGGAGACAATCTCCTGCTGCAGGATAATGCAAGTGTTTATTAAGGCAAATTGTTAGTCGGTAGTCGCAGCAGTTTGATGAAGTTCGTAGCTTGTTTGCGTGCCAACCGTAAATGGATTTAACTCCGTCTTCACATATTGGATCTGATATCGCGTGTGGGATAAAATTGATTGCTCCTAACCTTTTCTTCTTCAGTGTCTGTTCGCGCTCTTCAAGTTCAAAGATTTCAGTAGATTCCGCAATATAACTTGGATTTTGTGTGTCAGGCTTCTTCATTTGTAAGTCAAACATACAATAGTGATTTATAGACAATGCGCAGAGAGAATTTTCTCTTACAGAATTTACCCTAAAAATCATGGTAATCGTGGGACAATATATGGTATTGGAAGAATTTTATGAGTTTCTCTGATCAATATTTATCACAATAAAAATATTAATATCTACTACAATAAGATATAAAATATATTCGATAAATTTTACTATGTACATATTATTACTTTTTATAATGGTAAATATATTAATCGAAGAAACTCATAAAATTCTTCCAATACCATATTGTCCCACGATTACCATAATTTTAATTCTAAGAGAAAATTTCTATCCGTGTAGAGAGAGAAAAATCCATTTATATCACATCGACTTTATCCAATCCCCAAAAAATTGTCACAGATATACATTAGCCTGAAGCAAGTGATTAATAATATATTCCGATTATATATAACAAACAAGTCGATTTGATTAATCGGCTAGCGTCACACTGTAAAGTTCTTTATTCAGTTATCGAAAGCCGCAGCCAGCCGATAAAATTCGCGTTAAAAACCCGTCCCCCCGGTTGTCTACCAAACCAAAGAGGAACCCTTTTTTTGCCCGGCCTTTGCGCGAGTGAGAGTTTGTTAGTTTTTGCGGCGGCTCGACAAATCGAGACACCCCGGGGTTCGATCCATTTTTCATGCCACCCTACGGGACAAATAACAAACTTTGTTAACGATTACACCGCAGTACATCAGTTCGACCATCCGTCCCTCAGAGCGAGTGACGGCCGTGGGCAAGAACGAGCGTCCTCGTATATGTGTATGTTTGTATGTTTGTGTATGTGTCGCGTCGTTCCGGAAACGGACCGCTCAATTAGTAACCGACAAACGCCACCTCGTAAACAAAGCGCGTGGGTTTAAAGGCGACGCTTTGAAGGGCTCACCCTCTTGCGCCCCCTTTCGACACGGGGCAAAAAGGAGTCGAGTGCGATGAGACGAGCGGCGGCTAAAAAGCGTCGACAATCGCAGGAATGTAGCGGCTATTGATCGCGCCACCGGTCACGTGTGCTATATCTTTTCGATCGACGAGGCGCTCGGCACTTAATTCGATGGCGAATGGGGGGCAACCCTCCTTCTCCTCCCCCCTGTTTCCGTCGCTGACAACGCGTTTCGCCGTCTCTTTCGCCCGTCTCGTCTGTCGACACACGAGTGCGAGCGAGTCCGCGACGTCTCGGTGGAGAGAATAAAAAAAAAAAATACACACACAAGAAGTATTCCGGATGAGACGACGCGATAACAGTAATAGCGGACTCGTCTTCCCGAAGGGTGGCAGTTACAGGGTTGTAATATTGATCGGGCACCGGGTCACTGTTCATGTTCGAAGTTGGATTCGCGCCATTTCAACGGTCAAACGAAAGGTCAGCATCATTTTCTATTATTTTCGCAATAAGCTGATCAATCTTTCGTTCCCTGATCTATCAACGTATCGTTTTTGCAACATCGGGTTTGTCGAGCATGCAATCAATAATGTGTGAAATTGTGATGTACGAGGTTCGTTTTAGCCGAGCTTTTCGTGAAAAGGGAGAACATTTTTGCATCTGTCAAATAATATAAATTATTCTTATTTTCACGAATATTAATAATAATAATATTAATAATATGAATTAATGTTTAGTTGATCGAACAACGAATTACATTATTACGTATTCAAGCTGCACCATGAAAGCTAACTAGGAAACATTTTAATCCGGAACTGTGTCTATGCGCAAATGGAAATGTCGCAGCAAATGAATTTGCATAGAAAGTTGGAGTTTTGCATATAAATAGTGCCGAGCCAGAGACACAATGTGTGTCATTACATTAAAATTGCGTTTTCGCACTACAACACTGTAATCGTATTGTCCGGAAAAGCCATAAATATATGAAATATTGGGTAACCATCGCATTATGAAAGCGATACTATGCATTTCCCCTACAACGTTGTAAAATCACGATATCATTAAACTGACCATTATATGCGACGCATCGACTATTTACTGCAAAAAGTATATCACGCAATACAGAAGCGTGATATAAATCTATACTTTTTTAGATAACAACTGCGTCCAGATTAGATATGAGCAATCATTCATGTAATTTATAGTATTATCATACATATATAATACAATTTTCTATGCTCGAAATATTGGCTATGAATTTATAAACATAATGAATATGAACAAACTCTTTTTTATTTGTCTACATTTATACGTATGATTAAAAAGTCATTTGGGGAAAGAGCGGTTTAAGTTGAAAGAAATTATTTTTAAAAATTTCAATTTTAAATAAAACTTAATTATTCGTCGCATGTATAAATTACAATTTACACATAAAAAAAAAAAACAGATCTCCGTCAAAATGTTACATATACATATGTGGAAAAGAAAAATGATGAAACATATAAATTACATAAGGAAGATTATAAAAGAACTTAATAAAATTCCTACTTTAAATTTTTGTCTAATTAAGACAGATTTTACATTTCTATAAATTTGCTAATAAATTTTTAACAAAAGAAATTGAGAGAAAAAAATTTTGGTTGAAAGAGAAAAAGTAAGCAAGAACACACAAGCAATCAGAAATATATAAAGATAAAAGACTTAACTGCAGTTAAGTCGTTCTCCCAAAGAACTTCTCGATTTCGAGCGTGATATATACCACGCTCAAATATCACAAAGCTACAAAAGGGTCCCCGGGAGAAAATAGACGGGAAAATGAAACACGACCGTGATGTCACGTGGCAGTCGACGCGTTAAATTGCGGAAACACCCATTTTACGCGGATCTCCCTCTCTCTCTCTCTCTCTCCATTCTCACACATACCTCTCGGCGGGTAGACACAGACGTGCGTAATTTTCGAAGGCGATTGCGGCCAACGTCAGTACGGTCACCAAAAAGCAAAGTGCCTCGAGGGTCCACTCGAATCGGCAGGTAGCCAGGGACTCTTCGTGGCCCGCCAGGATTACGATCACCGAGACCGGTATTACCAGTCCGGTCACCACCAGATCCGCCAGCGCCACGTTTACGAGGAACGCGTTTCCTGAAAAAAAGAATCCGCGTGTGAAACTCATTAAAGTAATTAGCTTCTAACAGTTCTTGCGATCTGGAAACGCTCGAGAGAGTCGACGTTCCGCACTTTTTGCGCTGGTACATTATACATTGTGGGTGGCATCTTGGCAGAGGTACTTGGAATAATGTTTCTCTATCGCGCGATATCTAAATTAATTTATTAATCGTGTATTTTGCAAGTGGCGTCAATTCGAAGAAGCTTACTAAAATCAATATACAAAATTTCATACACATATACTTTTCTCATATAAATTTATAATCTCTCTAAAAACATAGGCGAGGATTTTATTCGATAGACGAATTAAATTTTGGACCAATTTTATTTCAAATAATTTTTTCGAGATTCCTACGAAATAAGCGGATTAAATGTCATTGACGAGTGATAATTTAAATTCATATTTCATATAAAGAAATTTAACAATGCGCCATGATTAAAACTTGATGGTAGCTTTGAATAATAGCGAATTCTGTCGTTACACGTGAATGTTCGCGTATTGCGAGAGCTTGGGGGAACTCTATACAATATCAGCTTTAATACCTTAATGCTGCGATTGTCACGCGATGGGAGATGGGTAGGCCAGACAGTAGGTTGCGCTAATGCGTGTAAATTAGAGGTTTCATTTGTCTTTTGAGGCTTCTTCGACATGTTTACGAACCGTTTCGTCGCGACTTTATGTCGCAGGAGCTACAATTCACCGTCCAGAATGTAATCCACTGGGTTAGAATTCACCGTTTCCGATCGATCGCGCGCGTACCCTCCGTCCGAAAAGAGAGAGAGAGGGAAGGATTCCGGTGATAGTGATATAAATTCACAGGGTAACCCGTGTTGGATACATACCGATCTATCGCCCACACACGACGCCAGGATTTCGACTGTACTGCCAAGAGCGTCAAAGACTCTCTCTTCCCTTTCCGCTGGCAAAAGAGTGCCAGCCTTCGATCGGGTACCCTTGTGCCAAACTATTATATTACGCGGACTGAAAAATCTTGGATTTTTTGCAGCTTCGTGCCGCGAGCTAAGGGAGGGCTTGATATCGCGCGGAGAAAGAGAGAGAGAGAGACCAGGGGTCGGTCTCAATCTCCTACATTTAATCAACGCACGCCCACAGGGGCATAATATCAGAGGTCGTAGCTTCTTCTCGGGCGAATCGTAAAAGCCATAGTAATTGCAAAACGATGTCGACCGAAACGAACGGTCATGCCAGCTGTAAAACTTTGTTCAGACGGTAACGGCGTTCGACCGACGACAGCTACTAAAACGAGAGGCTGAGGCCGCCGGTGCTGGCCAGCGGCTGTTATTACGAGTCAACGATTATAGCGTTTCATAAGTTTCATACATATAGGAGCCCGGTTAAGCGAAATATCAAATTGTCGAGAGCCGCGGAAAGAAAGGAGAGCGTAATATCCGCATTACCTTGCGATGCTGCCTCTTTCTCGCGACGCGATATATTCCCTCGATTCTCGGGGATTTCCCCGAGATCAATACCCGACGAAGAGACACACGAAGAAAAAGGAAATAATATCCGTACGTCGGCACGTCCTTAGGGGAGTATAACGCTATAATAAGGTCGCACGGAGGGAACGAACGTATTCGCCGTTACACTACTATGAGTAATAAAATGCATAATAAGATTCATTTTTTTCTCTCTTTTTTTTTTCTTTTTTTCGCGCCGCACAAATGCACGAATGCCAAGGCGCTCGAACTTTCGCGCCGGGCTTAACGATCCGTTTGTCAAACGAAGAAGAGGTCTGCGTGTTTTATGATATATACATTTCTCAACGCCGGGAGTTAGGATAAAGTTTTCATTAGTCAATCGCGAGAGTCAGTTGCCCCATACATATGCATTCGTGCGCGCACGAGGGGCAATTATTATAATTATACATTTCCTTGCAGCCTTACATCTTGTGTAGCGAAGCTAGAGCTTCACTCGCCCTTACAAGACAAATTTTCATTTACTGGTTTCCTTATGTAAATATATACCGCGCACAATGGGATAATGCCCTACGCCCGACGTAAAACGATGCAGCGGGATATCAGGTATTCAAATTACTTAGAAAAGGTATATAGTTATGAGCAGCCGAGCGTCACGATTTTAACCGCGCAGTTTAATTAAGTCGTGAAAGCACTTTTAAGGAGTCATCAACACCTATAAATTACAAACAAAGCGGCGCATTAAGTTGCAGCCGGCACGTGTAATTTGGTCTTTTTCTCGACATCTTATCGCTATCTCGCGCACCAAAGTGCCACTTGGCAATCTTGGCATCGACACTCTCGTTAAAGTATTTAATATAACGTGTATATTACTTATACATCCATTTTAATACAACAAGTTAACATCTATTTGAAAGAAAAACAATATTCCAATACTTGCGGAAACAGCCTCTTACATTGATGTCATTAAAAGATAAAAATGTAACATTATATTGCACGGTAAAGAACTTCTCGAATAATGATACTGTTTTCTCACATGCATGTTTCTTCCTCTTTACAAGACGCTGCACTGCAATTGCAACACGCTGCTCATTTGCATTTTCATGTCACGCAGTATTAAATAACGATACGTCATAAATGAATAGGAATAAGACATTCTTCTCGATTTTATTTATCACAAATTTGTGTTATTCTTCCTCATTTGTTGAAAAACAAATCTCTCAATAGCGGTACAAGTTTGTGTACGATCGAAGAGTTAATAATCCTAACATCACAACATTAAGAATATCTGGGGAACACGCTCTAGCAGATAAAATAAATTACATTTCCACCCTCGCTCGAAAGCTAAAGTGACATTTTTACCGAGGGTTACTTCGGACTTTTTGGGAAGCGCAAAACGCATCAACACGCCGGCGGAACGGCCGCAAACGTGTTCGCGCCTTTGGAGAACGAGGATATTACAACCGCTGCGATAAAAATGATTACGCGACAAATTATAGGCGCGCCTCTTTTCGCCTTCGTCTGCCGGTTAATAGGATCAAATATCGCGGCCTCTCTCTCTCTCCAGATATCGACGAATTAAGCCCTGCAGTCGTCGCGTTCGCGCCGCCCGCATTCGCCGATCGCATTTTCCGGCGGTACGTTTTCGGCGTGACGAGATCCGATCGATTCAGCGGTTGATGCGTGGAATAAATTATCCCGCATCAGCGCTCCGTGGCGTCACTTCGAAATTGATTCTCTCTATCTCATCCTCCTCTATATCTCCATCTCTCATCCGGGTCCCCTGTCTAGCCGCAGTGCCGCAGCATCGTCATGGGAACGTTGGGCTCTCTATCCATCCCTCTCGGAGTATTCTTCTACGTACCGAATGAATCCGCGCTGATCAGAATTTGTTTTAATCGATTTACCGAGTCAGCCTAGCCGCGCCGCGCGCACATAGGCCCTCCTCGTTCCATCTCCTCATCGTTGTGCCCCGTCGTTTCACGAGCGCCGAACCGAACTATTCGCCAACCGCACCGCGGAGTACCCGAAGTATTCGCATTACCGGCGGGGATTCACCGCGTTCGGCCGCCTCCGTGATCGGGGTTTCCAAGGGAAGGCACCCCACAGACGAGACGAGATGAGACAAGAACGTATAGTGGAGAAAGAGAGAAGGGTGGAAGATATAGAACGGCGCTCTCTCGTTGCGGCATTAGATACGAGGCTAGCAGAGTTATACGGCAACCGGGCCCGCTCGTGCGGCTACGCGCCGCGAAATTGACTCGCTCATCCGTGTACACCCTTATAGGGACCCCACGACTGCGCAATCCATTACGGCGCCATTCGGGTTACCGGGCATCGCGGTGGATCCGCACCGCTCTTGCGGTACGGGGGCTTTTTGTTTCTACCGAGAGACAGAGAGAGAGTTCTCTGTGCCGAGCCGGCAGAGTTCACGCAAACGAAGCCGAAGTCCGTCCGACACTTCACGTCCGCAGTGGAAATGGGGTTTATGTCAGGCACGAACGGACATCTACGAAAGCATTTCCCGCGATCCTCTCCCGTTCCGCAAGCGAACACACCGGAGACGGTTCGTCTCTCTATCTCTCTCTCTCTCTTTCTGCCTCCTCGATGCCATGCCATGCCGGGGTGGAAGCGACGCGCGGAAAAAGGAGGAATCGCCGGTGCTAGGGCCGGATTTCCGGCTACAGGAGAGGAGGACAGGCCAGTTGCCGTCGCGTCACGTTCGGACGTATTTATTGGAAAGGGACGATCGTGAAGTTCGAAATTGCGCGCGCGATCGGCACATTAAAACTTCAATCTCGTTACAAGCTTATTCGATGTCCTACGATGTCCCATCCATACCCAAGCTCCTGTATTATGTATTATTGCCCATTCGCGTAAATTGACAGTGGCTCGTGCAAAATTTCGACTAATAGATATTTCTCATAAAAAGAGAGAACTTTCTAATCTGTACAATCTAACTTTTTCTTTATTTATTTGAGATACTTGAGCATTTTACGTAAGATGCTTGAAGACTGTTTTAAAACAATACAAAAATAAGGTATAAAGATATCTTATATTAAAGGGGAAAAAAATTAAATTACAAACTACATATATTACACGATTTTTAAATTTAGAAAAATGATTAAATTCTAATGCGATAAAAATTTAAATAGCATAATTATGTTACCATATTAACAAAAGCGAATAAATAATAATCTCCCATTGAAAAATTACATGTGTTCTCTCTCTCTCTCATGAGAAAAGCTCTAATTTTAACTTTAAGCATCAATAAAAAATATGATTAAATATAAGAAATAAATCAGCAAATGATATTTCACAGACAATTTAGATGAATTGTTAACGTAAAAAAAAATATTCATGCATTCCCATCGTCTCTCTGAATTTCAGGATGAATGCCATGAAAGGATTCGTGTATCTTCATTCATGGCTGTTATCAATATTTTATACTATACTTCGAACATGCGCATTGGACACGGAAACGATTATAGAGCACCATCTTCCTGAGAACATTTGCATTCGTCACGTCGAGTTCGGATATATTTACAATCACTATAAGCTCGAGAAATAGTCACGAACGAGACGGAGGTTAATTCTCGTTACCGCGATAATAATGACCCAAGTTTCTCGTTGTCATCACGAGGCACGAGAGACGACACATCACAGCAAACTGCGCATTAAAAGAACTTTATAGCTGACAAAACGAGTAAAACGGAACGAGATTTTCTCGGTGAATAGTTTCAGACGAACGAAAGTCGGTATTATTTGCGCCACTGTCGAGATTCATGCGGAATAAAATAGCGGTAAAAATGTTTCGGGCCGTTTCAATAAGAATTACGAGGCTGGCCAGTGTGTGACGGTACACAGTTATAAAACCGAGAAACTCGACAAATTGGAGTGCTGAGAAGAAGAAGAAAAAGAGGGAAGAAAAAAGGAGAAAGAAGGAAAAAAAAAGGAAAAAGTCCATTTAAAGAGAGAGAAAGTACGGTAAAGTAAAATTGATTCGCTGCTCTGGGACATCAAGTCGTCTCAGAAAGCTTATACATGATATATAAGTATATATATATATATATATACTATACATATATAAATGTCTATGTATTTGTGTGTGAATTTGTTTATGCGTGTAATAAACATATAAAAAAATATTAATAAATATATGAGGAAAATATTACAAGACAGATAATAATTATAATTGATACAAATGGCTAATAGAAAAAATTAGGTATAATATTTCGAAACACACATAATAATCTTCATAAAATATATTTAATATTAAATGTAAAATTTTTTAAATTATCATTTTAGCTTCAAATATTGTTTAAAAGAACAGAATTGGAACTTTTGTACTCGTTAACAAATTTATCACCGAAAACTTGAGATTGAAAGGTCTGAAGCAGTAAGGTCTATAATTTGTAGACAGATCATTTTCAAGCGCGACCCAATTTCTCTATGACAATTTAAACTTGTGGATTTAAATTGAATATAAAGATAAGGAGATAGCTGTATAGAGAGAAGGAAGAACGATACACTTAAGCGACAATGTAATTACATTTCCACCCCTATTGCTTTGTGTTCCATTGTATCTACAGTCATTGTTATTATGCTCTATGCAGAGCGCTTGCGTGCAAATAATAATTATCTCGGGTCGGTCTCTCAGAGCGTGGAGACAGCGACATATACATACATATATATATATATATATATATAACGCACACCTAGAGGGATTATTTATTATCACGCCGGCATATTTGCAAGAGGGAGAGAGACGAGAGAGAAGTTCGGTTTGCAAATAATACGAGAAATCGATCTCGTCATTGCCGCAGGTATAATGGCACGATGAAGATCCCATCTTCCCTACAGATTGTACCGACGACGTCGTTCTTTGCTGTTATGTCCCTTCCCAGCCGGATACAGACGCTTTTGTCCGCAGAGACGCAAAAAAAGATAAGAGATCTTACCGCGACGATATATACGAAAGAACGTTGTCGCAAGGCATGTCGGAAATGTACGACCCCCAGGATGGCTTTTAGTCGGATATACTTCTATAGAGTAAAAACTTTTGTCGTTGCATTTGTCGATGAGAGTATTCTCTTTCAGGTACCACTGCCTCCCCTGCCGCCTTCTCTCTTCCCTTCTACACTCTTTTCAATCCTTTCTAATGTCTCTCGCCTTTACCATTTTAATTTTCCACCTCGAATTTATACAGCGAAAAGAATTTCTCCTCTCTCTCCCTATATATATATATATACGTCACTGTTCGTCTCTATAAAACGAGTCTGCGCTCTCGTCTATTATTTTTATCTATAATCGTAAAAAAGAAAATTACAAGGATACCTCGTTTGTTGAGCTGGTCTTCTACTACCACGGCGGATATCATGAAGACATTACCCACGCTCCCGCCGACGGCTAGAGAGGCCAGCAACAAAAGTCGGGCCACTCTGGACCAGGCCGATGACAAGGTCACCGGCGAAACATCGAGGTCACCGTCGAGAACGCTACTTAATGTCTTGTTCAGTCTTATTCCAGACTCGGTATTGATGATGCTTGCCACGGTGGTCGTCGCACCGTTTAAGATTGCTGTCACGTTCATTCTGAAACTGTCAAAAAAAAAAACACGAATCATCATTTATAGAATCATACGTGAATAAATAATAATAATTAAATCTGCTGCTTAAGTGCATTATTTTACACGACTAATCAGTACAAATTTTTGGATTAAAAAATATTTTCACTCACTTTTAAGTGCAAATTAAAATTGCGATTGGTGGGTATATCTATAATTAACGCACGGATAATTATAATATAACAAAGTCTAACTTTGATTAGCAACACATCCGGGCCTTTCATTACTTTAAGGGATGGTTCGGGGTGGTCTTCAAGTTCGAAACACGGAGGAAACGAGGCTAAAGCTATTTGATATCACACGATTATACAGAGAGAGGCCTTTTGAAGATTAGGGCCAACAAGACCATACCACCCTAATTGTGAATTATCGATCGGACCACGGTGTGGGGAACAGTCACCTGTTCCGACCTGTGACCCATGTTAGGTTTCTACAATGTCCTCGTTGTCGCTAACAACATCTGCGCAATGATAATTAGCAAATATAAATGTCACGCACGCAGGTAGATAATGACTGACGTTATGTATATTATATAATATTACTGTTTGGAAAAAGGAGAATTTAGTTCAGGAATTTAGAAATGCATAATAATTTCATGGAGACATATGACAATATTCACAAATAAAGTGGAGCGAGTATGCTTTTGCTTCCGTTTTTTAAAGAACATATTTCGAAAAATATGCAGATAGGTATTAAAATATTTGCTCGTGATCAAAATTAAAAAATACTTGCTTTTATGTAAGTAAGAGATTGCAGGAAATATTATACAAACTTGTAAAACAAGAACATTTTATGTGTGAAATAAATGCTTCATTCAGAAGCTTAATTGACACATACTTGAATATCATATTATTTTATTAATTTTTCATATGTGAGAAAATTATAACTACAATAAATTATACCATATTATAAGTTATTATATTATATTTATAATAATAGCTTAAAAATGTCAGATATTTTCAAAGGTAAAATAAATATTTTAAAACACAAAAATGTTCTTATATACACATATAAAAAATGCTAAAACATATATAAAATGCTTTTACTTGCAAATGTTTTCTCTGTTAAATTTAACACACTTTAGTTTTACTTAAATAATTAAATAGATTCGTTTTTATAACTTCTCTATATAAAATATTAAATCTTCTCTTTTTTAAATATTGTATTTATTTGACACGAATATATATTTGCAATTTTATATTGCATGCATTTTAATTTAAAACACACAATAGAATTGCATGTTTCAAATTATCATCGTTAATTTAAATTGTATTATCAATAATGAAACCTGTCTGCTTTGCTATTCTGCATATAAATGGAAACGTCTCGATCGTATCTACACACACACACACACACACAGCATTTCCAAAGTGAATTTTAAATTTTCATTAGCAAACGCAGCCTCGGGTGGCCATTGAAATGTTTAACACGTCGTGTTTCGCCGGTCGACGCTCGCGAAGAAATTGATCGCAAAAATTGCGTTTAATAATAAAACTGCATCATCGCTCTTTCTTCCGATCGACAAACCGTTCTTCCTTACTACTTACAGAAATATTTTCACTTGTTGCATTAGGGCTTGAAATGGCGAGCCCCTCGAGCCAATAATCTCATCAATCCCGTTACGTGACCTTTCACGCACATCGACATCGAATCAATTTCCCCGCGGACGATGCCGATATCTTTTCCTAATTGAAAAACGACTTCTGCGCGAGCGAACGAAGGCGTCATTGGCGCCATGGAAGAAGAGCTAATTCTCGCTATCTACTGCAAATTCTTGTTTCCGTCTTTACGGAACAGGATGAGCCGGAATGATCGATGCTCGTTGTACGAGATGTCTCAAAATTATCTCGTTTCTCTCTTTACGAATTTTTCATCGAATCTCCAATCAATTTCTTTTCAACAGTTTCTCATTACTTTTTCATTTTTACTCTCTCAGTTTGCTAATTTTCAATATTAAATATCAATATTTACATTTCAAAAATTAATATCCACTGTTAAAAATAAAATGCCCCAAAAGAGTTGTGGAGCGTATTAAAATTTACTTAATTAATTCGCGAATGTTCCTTCGTTTCTAATTGCTCATAATTTAAAAATTCGCAGCTATTTTTTCATTTTTACTTTTTCAGTTTGTTAATTTCCAATATTAAATATCAATATTTACATTTCAAAAATTAATATCCACAGTTAAAAATAAAATCCCCCGAAAAAGTTGTGGAGCGTATTAAAATTTACTTAATTAATTCGCGAAAGTTTCTTTATTTTTAATCGCTCATAGTTTAAAAACTCGCAGCTATTTTTTAATCCTTACTTTCTCAGTTTGTTAATTTTCAATATTAAATATTAGTATTTACATTTCCAAAATTAATATCCACCGTTCAAAATAAAATCCCCCAAAAGAATTGTGAAGCGTACAAAAATGTACTAAATGAATTCGCGAAAATTCCTTCACTTCTAATCGCTCATAGCTTAAAGATAGAAGTTAAAAAAATTCACAGACGACGATTTCGAGACACCATGTACATCGAAAACATGCATCTTACGGATCCATGAATAGAATACGACTCTTACGTCCGCTTTAAGCGGCTTTTAAATTGTAGATCTATTTCGAGAGGTGTCTCCGACCGTCTGACTACTCGACGAGACGTATAGATTACAATCTCATTGCGACACCTTGCGAAAGTGGATCTCATTCGCGATGCAAAAAGATGCAAACGGTCCTATCGGCAGAAGAGAGCATCTCACGTTTCACGAGTCTCCTCCAATCCCGTATGAATGTGCGCGTAAAAAACGAGTTACCACATTCGTTCTCTCTGAAAAGCTAGGAGAGCGCATCCCGACGAGGGCGCGACGATATGGATGCTCGTGAAACGGGGGATGTTGACGGACGACCACCGCGATCCATCGGTCGATCCTGAATGAGCTAGATTACAAGAAGATGTGATTGCGCGCGCCGAATTAAGAAAAAGGGAGGATTATCCTCCAGAAATCCTCCGGAGTGCGTATTAACGAGCATTCGGATGTACAAATCTTTTCAATTATTCCGACTCAAATCTACTCTTTCGCTTTACAATTACAATCTCTGCAGGCGCAGGGGTGCCGCACAAAATACGATGTCTCTCCTTCCTTTATCTATGTGAGAACGCGCGACGGAGACAAGTCACGTCGTCTAGTCTCTCTAGAGCAGGCACGCTGTGTGACATTGTCCTCCCGTCACATCTCGCGGTCGGAAATTTCATATTTCTATTCATACAGACACGGTTGACGGTGCTGCTCTAAGGGAGAGAAGAGCAACCACCTTACATGACTCAAGCAGCAAACACAGAAGGCAGGAAACCCGCGATCTACTGTAACACCGGCGGCAGTCTCGCTTCGCGACGATATCGGATTTCGTACGGGATCAATGATGGCCGGGATACAGTTAACCCCTACTTCGCCAAGCCTAGTCCATGTCCGTTTTTCGTGCTCGTATCCGACGGACGGGGATAAAGCGCCGGTGCTAAACGATAGTGCTCGCGTGCTTAATTGCCACCTCGATGTTCGCCTCGCCAGCTTGCCGCGTGCTACGTGCAGTCGCTAAAATTTTTACGGCGCCGACATACGCGAGAGAGCCCCCGGGACTCTCTCTCTCGCGGGAGAAAAAAAAAAATAGAAGGGGCCAGGAAGAGAAAAAAACGTATAACGATCTTCCGGAGAGACCGTTCCGGCAGGCGCGCAGCTCGCAACGACACCTTTTACGACTCATTAAAGCGGCCGAAATCGAAGTTACGGTGCAGCCGTATACCATGTTTTATTGACGATAAAGCCGGTGAGGAGTAATTAGGTTCGTATCAAGTTTGCAAACTGCTTCATTTTAAGACTTTCGGAACTTCGCGCCCGCGAGCGCCATCGATGCTCGAGGAGTGGCGCCGTTAATTTGCATGAAAGTAATCCGCAAATGAATATTCACCCGGCATATCATTAAGAAGAGGGGAACGCGGACCGGCCAGAGTTAAGAGTTAATGTTCACGTTCACGTAATGATCAAAACATGTTCATTCCGAATTTATATATGTAAACCGTCGGAATTCTCGCACGGAGAGCGAAATAAACATGAGCTTTCCCTGCCAATTTAACAGGCGTTTCGATACCGCGAATTCCCTCTTTCTCTCTCGCACCACTTATTTGACAATGAGCGCCAAGATGAGATGACTCCAAACTAACAAACTGGCGTCTAAATCGAATGACAATGTTTAACGCTAAACGATCCGTGTAATTTCGCGCCATTACCTTTATACGCTTTATCCCATAGTTATGGATTGAATGTATAGCGCTATAATTCTTTCATTCCGGCGTAAGACGTTATATAAAGTAGATTCTTGAGCCATCGCGCTCCGATCGCCCGCGTATAAACCGTCGATGGACGATTACAGGGCGGAAAATAAAATTTCGCCGAGAAACGTACGTGCCAGTGTGATAAAGGCGGCAACAAATTTCGCGGATGGCGGGGTTACGCGATTACGTGACGCGTCGACCGGGAAGGTTACGAGAAAGTTTCTGGAGTGTAAAGTGGGCTTAAGGCAGGCGTAAGGATAAGAAGTCACCGAGGCGAGGCTTTATGAGAGGAAACCGGGGAAGAGAGACGGCGCGGTCGTGAGAATATACACGGCTAAGCAAAAAATTCCTCGAGAATGGTGCTCGGATGTGCTCGAAACGGCCCGGAAGTTTCATGGACGGTGCCGGTCCTTTAACATCCGGATCACGTACGCCGGCATCTTTTTAATAAATAATGCATCGTCGATATTTGGCGCGGGATGCTGTAATTTCTCTCGACTACATTTTTGACGTGCTTCTGCGAGGAGGAACATTACGAGCGGAATTAATGCATTTGTATAGCATCCGGTTCGTAACAAAATTCATAGTCTTTTTGAAAAATATGTATCATCTCGATGCACATTTTCCAACGATTTGATTAATAGTCAGTTTTTATTTCTCTATT